AAACTAAGGTAAAATAACGACTTTTACTGAGCTTTTACTTGGTTGGTCCCTGAGACAGTGATTAAAAGAAAAAAAAATTGGAATAAAAATAGCAATTTTATAAATCCATATTTTATTAATCAAATCGATATAGCATAGAGCATACGGATACAGATGTAGCGTTTCTTTTTTTTGTGTGGTCGCGCATGTTTTCAATCTTACTACTTGAGGGTTAAATAAATTTCTGGAATATATTATATATTTTTATATATTTATTTTTAGTATTCCTTTTTATATTATAATATTTTTATATTTATAATATTGCTTTTTAATATTTATTTTGTGTTTAATATCTTTTGTATTTTTTAAAGTGTATTATAAGGAGCGTTGTAAGTATACTAATAAATTAGACATTTAAATTTACCACAAAACGATAATGTAACTTGATAACAATTCTGATTGGTCGCTCAACTGTCACGTGATTACATCCTATATATAGATATACTCTTGTCTTTATACTTAGATATCCCTACTGCCGTATGTCTTAATAATATATATGCTGATAATCGTTGAGTAATCATTCAAACGGTTGGCTGTATTCAGCCAACGTTCCTACCACGTTTAAATTACCAGTTCTCGTCCAATCATTGAAGTTGACTGTATGCTGAAAGAATAGACGGACAGGCTGATTGACTGATTTTCAATTCGCCTGTTGTCGATGAGGGTCTATGAAAAAAATCGATTGTTATTTAGTGAAATTGTCAACTTATCTTGAATTAATTTATTTCAACATATTTGCGACATGCGGAAGACACATTCATTCATTGTTTTCTTTTTAATCGTGGTGTTCTCTACTTGTTGTTTGGCTGTCAATCAGACTTTTGTGAATACAATAAAAACAAAACTTAAAATACTTGGTGTCTTCGGTCATCCTGGCAAGAGTCATTTTGATGTGTTCAAGCCTCTTCTAGAAGAACTAGCTCGAAGAGGTCACGAGCTCACTGTGATCTCGTATTTTCCTAGAACCGATAATGCTAAGGTGAAAGAGCCATTGCCCAATTACAAGGACATCAGCCTGGTGATTCCCAAAGACGGTATCTTTGTAAACGTTATAGATCTTCAACAGATCAACCATGGATGGTATCGTCCCATGCTGAATCTCTACATGTTGAGGATCATGGCAGATTACTCGTGCAGTACCGGTCTGCGAAGTTCGAGTGTCAAAAAGTTTCTTCAATCCGACGAAAAATTTGATTTAATTCTCACAGAAAATTTCAACACCGATTGTTTTTTGGGTTTTATTCATCGTTTTAAGGCGCCATATATGGCCTTATCATCGCATCAAATCATGCCGTGGACTAACAGTGACATGGCTAATACTGATAATCCCAGTTACATCCCGATTACATTACTTGGATTAATTAAACCTCTAGATTTCTTCAGTCGAATAAAAAATGCATTATGGCTGTTTTTGTCTAAAGCGATTTATGAATATTACTTCCGATCTGTCGATCAAGTTGTCGCCAATGAAGTCTTCGGTCCGGATCTTCCTAAGTTGAAAGAAATCGCCCTGCAATCGCAAGCGTTATTGGTGAATACCCACAGTAGCATTTATGGCAGCAGGCCTCAGTTGCCGAATGTGATAGAAATTGGTGGACTTCACATTCCGTCTAGAGTCAATCCGCTACCGAAGGACGTAGCTGAATTTCTTGACAGCGCCCATGAAGGAGTGCTGTATTTCAATTTAGGCTCCATGATTAAGATGTCATCGATACCACAGGAGAAGTTGAATATTATATTAAAGGTGATTGGCTCTATACCGCGGAAAATGATTTTGAAATGGGAGACTGATGAACTACCGCGCAAGCTGGATAACGTTATGGTCAGAAAGTGGCTGCCTCAGTTCGACGTAATGAGTAAGTGAAAGAATGTTCCCTTCTTTTTTTATGGAACAGCATGTGTTCAAGATCGAGTACTTGTATTAGATCTATTTGACTTTAAGTTAGTCTGAAAACACAAAAAGAATGATTATATAAACTATTAACTAGTACAGTGGGGAGAAAAATGAAATTATCTTTTCTTTTTTGAAGGTCTTAACAATTTTACATAGAAATATTTTTTGTTTCTTCTTAATCCCTTCAAACCCAGCATATATTGTGATATACATCAAATTCGAAAACGTTAGCTGTTGAAATTATTTAATTCTGTTTTCTAAGATCAATATTTTCTAAGATATACATGCACTGGCAATAATGGTATCCCCTGGAGGTGCTACATACCGAAGCGCATACATACATGTACTGAAGAGGCGAGGAGCGCGAAGCGAGAAAGTAGTGGGGGAGGAGGACGCTTCGATATTCTGTCCTTAACGCAAGGCGCACGATGAGAGAGAAAGCGTAATTAGACATAATGCCGGCTTGCGGTCCTTTCGCTGTCTCACATTTGTTACGAGTGAAAGTCCAGTGTCTCTCGCTCGCCAATATTCATAATAATACTTTTATTATGAATTATATATAATGAATTATATAATATGAATTATTATTATGAATTATATAATATTATTATGCAAAATGTTGTAATTATGCATAAAAATTTTTAATGTTGTAAAAAAATTTTTGTGCATAATATTACAACATTATGTGTAATTTTGAGACTCATTGTAATAGCTTTGCATGTATTTATAAATTTGTAGTGTGCAAATGAAATTAATATTTTGTATTGCAAGATTGCAAAATTAAATTTACAGTTAAATATAAGAATATATAATAAAATAAATAAAAAAAATATAATATAATATATAATGCCGCGCGCTGAACGCCAGGAGACACCATTTCTGTCGGTGCGTGTACATAATACATAATAATGTATATTTTGGAGAAGTAGACAAAATTTTGAAAAAAATTGTTTAGTATAGACTACTTATTAAAGTGCGCATAAATTAAATTAAAAAAATTTTTTTTAAATAATAATAAAATCAGATCTAAAGGGGTTAAAAAAAGTAATAAAAGTTTATTATGTATTTTAATAATCTGTTGCAAGGTTCGGCACGATATTTGCACTTCTCGATTTTCGATTCGGTTCCGCCCTCTGCTACTCTTCTTACCTCTTCGCGCAGTTCAAATGTCACTCGATGCTTAGGAGCGTATAATATTCATAGATATGAGTCCACTCGCTTTGGGCGTTCACGCTAACGTAAATTTCATTCTATCTTTTTTTTTCCGTTTATTACATAACTAAGATAGAATGAAGCAACATATAAGTGCTCAATCTTACGTGTGAGAAGAGTACCTATTTAAAATGGAGTCGAGTCGAAAATCGGCCGAGAAGTGCAAATCGTGCCTGATCTATTGCATAATATGCGATTTATTTATTCAAATTTAATTGGCGAGTATTATAATAAACAAAAAATAATGTCAATTATATAAAATGGAAGTTAAATGACGTATAATTGTCTAACATTTCAAAGTAAATGATGTCTAATCGTCTGACATTTCAAAGTAAAGTATGTGTATGTGTTTATTTATGAGTATTTATTATCTATGCTGCATCATTCACATAATAATTTCTTGTTTCTATTGATGATAAGTAGTATGACGCATAGATTACACATTGCATTTTCACTTATACGTAACATTAAAACATCGAATATAACATAAGATATCCAAATTGATTTACAATTAAGATATATTACAATTAAGATTTATAAAGAAGATTAAATATTTACGAAATAAGAGTTGAATAACAACAAAATTAGCTTATTGTTATTGCTCGGTACATAATTCAATTAAAAATTTTCAATCTCGATTTTAGCAAAGAGTTTTTTAACGAATATTAAATCATTATAAAAAAAAAAGATATTTATATTATGTACTCTTAATATTATTATTTTAAGCATTATTATTTATTTATATTTTTACTGATGACTTTTTTTATTGATTACACGTATATCACATGCTTTTAAAATAGAATGCATGAATTTTGCGATTTAATATGTAAAGATAAATGCGTAAATTTTCAAAATAATTATAGAGAAATCAGGTGTGCTGTAACAGTATCCATGCATGTGAGTATAAATGTACTCAGATGGTAGTGATCATTAATAATTATATCACATTAAATTAGTAATTTTCTCGAATTATATATAAGTTGCTCAAGGACGTGAGAAATAATAATTTTTATTTTTTAAAGTATTATTCCAGTCGACACCAACTGAATTAAGTAACATCAATGTTATAGTTTATTACTGATTAACAATATAACTGTTGTGTAACACCATGTTTTATTACATTTATGTTGTTAAACGCAAAATTATACTATCAGTGGCACAAGAGCGTATTATTCATAATTCTATTCATATATGTCAATTGTAAAATTTATGGATGTTAATATTGGCAATACATCAGGCTTAAATATTTTGAAGTTTGATTTAGTTGCTATAACAGTTATAATCGAATACAAACAAAATGAGTATAGCGTATACACTAGTTGTTTCAAAGGAGTATTTTCGTGTAATCACCTAAAAAAAGCAAAATTATCATATGCAGTTTCTGACTGTTACATGAAAAAGGCAGTGTTTGGACTTGACCTTCATATGCTGTAAGCTTTATTTTACTTTTATCACTCATTACTCATAAAAAGAAAGAAGATAGAATGAAGCTTACATTACGTGAACGTCAATTCCGAACATAGAATAGTCTCAGCAATTCATAAAGAAGTTGTATATATAGAGTAGGGGAGTCAGCTAAGAATGCGTGAGCGAATAGAAAGAAACAGAAAACGAGATAGCCATCAGCATCCTTAGCTGCGCTCACGCGCTTTAAGTGCTTGTAATAATCATTTTGTCTTTATCGTTCATTAAATATATAAAATAAGAATAGAAGTAAAAGTATTAAAAAGCGCTGAAAGCGTCCAAATCGATCGCAGCTCTTGTTTAATCGCGCATGCACTGTTGATTTTCAGTGTTAAGTGAGGAGATTTCAGAAGAGCAATATATTGATACCGTCCCATTCAGCTTTCAAAGTTTTATGCATGGCGCAATATTAGACAAAGATAAAAATGACCATCCCCAGAAAGAATCAAGGAAGAGTGGAGCGGATTCAGCCGGAAGCCGCTATGTATAGCTCACCGAAGTGAGTAGGAGATATGATAGGAGCATGATGGAACTATTGTACTGCACTAGTATTATGTGTATGACATATATGTACATACGCACACATACACATTTGGGAACCTTCAATCAGAGAAAAGAATTACTATCCGCTCCATTCTCCCTTGATTCTCTCTAGCCATCCCGTATCTTTTCCTTTTCTACTGTCTAACATTTTCACTTACAGGGACTCCTATGCCTTGCTTATTCTATATATACAATCTCTTTGGCAATTCGTCGTGAAGTGGATGAAAAAACAAACAAAAAGTGTTGACGATCTGCCTGAAAGAAGTCGGCAGCGCTTTACATTAGAAAGAGATAATAAAGTAATCAAATTATAAGATTTTTGAGAAAAATCCAACTTATATTCAGAAAATCGAGTTCAGAAAATATTGTCCAAAAAGGATATAAATATAAATCTGTGAATGATTAAACATTGATAACTTGCTTCTGATTACAACTGGCGAAGTACAAAACTCAAACCATTTTTGAAGTAATTACACGTGGAAAAATGTTTACAGTCAGAAAATACGATTAATATCGACTTCACAAGCTGATGTTAATCTAATCGAAAATGTGTGTGGGCTACTATGAAGATCAAGATGACAGAAAAGCATGTCTTCACTTTGAAACAATTATCATATCATATTCGATCTGGAAATCATTTTCTAAGATTTTGATAGAAAATCTCATAGAAAGTATGCCAAACTGTAATCGACACTGGAGGGGACTGGATGACATATTAGGTAAATTATATACGCATTAAAGCGTATATAATTCAAGGTCATATATTTATTTTTCAAAAATCTTTTCCAGGAAAAACAGCTAACACGCTCTTGTGCCAATAACTGTAATATTAGGGTGCCGTCCCATGACGCTTATTGCTATACGCGCATATTCGCGTATCAAACGATCCAATTAATCATTGACGTTCCACCATTATATTTATATACGCGACAATTTTGTTCCTTATGCTCTATGCAGCGAATCGCGCGTAAGCGGATTAATGGATCACTAATTACACAATCGTTCTGTTAGATCTGTTTACAAATTTTGCAAGCTAATAATTAGGAATACTTGTGCAAACTAGATTATTGGATTGCAACAACTTTTATCCTCTCACATATTTCTTAACTTAATATAAAAAATATTATCTTTTTTTATCTTTGATTGACGATTACAGTAAGTCAAGTAAAAGCGTGGTCGATCAGCATGGTGTTACACCATTTCATGTTATTAGTCTTGAGATAGGTTCGAATAATTTCGTACGATATATTTAAACCTTTCTGCTTCAATTTTGTTTGTTCTTAACGCAGTGTTAAGTCAGGATTCCGCGAAAACAGATTCATTATTTTTTATCGTCTTTTTTATCCACTTTGCATATCGAGCCACGTTCCGATAAATCATCAACATTTTTTGCCACATTATATCGTTGCACCCACTTCTGTACGAATGATTTCGACTTTTTCATATATTTAGCAGCCGCTAATTGTGATATTTTTGGACCTTTTGGGTGAGTGCAGAGGAACACAGCGTGATGCATATTTGGTACTCGTGACTCTTAATGTGATTCTCTTAAGAAAGTTCAACTGAATCTTCCTTGATAGTGCATCAAGGACAAAGATACCCTCTATGGATTCATGATAGATTTAGGGCGATATCTTTTATTAGCTTTGAGTAAGGTCGATCACGATCTTACTTGACTTACTGTATATATCGAAGAAGACGGAAAACGTACAGATAAAAAGTAATTTATGTATGAAATAGTTTTTTGTCAGTTTGTACACTGGAAAAAAATCTGATTGCATAAAAACTGATAGATTCAACAAATTTTGTTAAAAGAAAAAAAAAGATCGAATCAGACTACTTTTAGAAATTATCAAATAAGCATGGTTAATAATTTATCACACAAAATTTCTTAATAATATCTACTAAATTTATTTAGATCAGCATAATCTTTTAGTAAAATAAATTATAATTAGTTTAGAATAAATTTAATTAAAAATTTTATAGAGAAAGAGCTATTCAAAAATATTAAGTAAATCCTTATAGTTAAGTCTATTAAACGACCTAATAAAATATCAGGTTAAATCATGAAACTAGTAATTCTGTTCTCAATCAAAATGTATTCTACCATGTACATCTCGTAGCACACATTTTTTATAATGTCGCAATCATACTTATGCAATCGTAACTTACGCAATAATGAATCAGCAAGTTATGCGAGATGCATTCTTGCATCATCAATCGCGTGATAAATTCGCACTGGATTGTGGTCACGAGATAATTCTATCTCGTGATAATTCTATACGCGTTTCCATACGAGTAACGATCATACTTTTACAGCACAGACCAGTCTATGCGCACGCTGCGGATTTGCAATGGTATAAATGCTTTGCTAAAAATAGGGTCGTTTTAGACATCATTTGACATATTTTATTGCTTTTGCACTGCGTGCGCGCGCGCGCAACGACGTTAATGATCAACGGTCGCACCTGCGTGTGGCGTATCTTTCCACTTATATTTTTTCCTTTTTATCATCATTTTTGCCTTTTTGACGCATTGTTTATGGCTATGTTATGGCATGTTTACTGCTGATGACCTAACACGTGTTGTTATTCCGTTTGTTCTCTCCTTCCGATCTCGCTATATTTCTTGTTAATAATAATATTCTTTTCCCCGGCTTTTCATGACATAAAATTTCAAAACTAAAAAAGTTTATTAATTACGGGTTATAAATTGCTTCTACACTTTACGTATTGATAATCGATTTTGCGCTATTGTGATATTTTCTTTAATCAAAGTTGTTCCTGTTCCTTACTTTGATTGTATTCGCAAGTAGTAACTATTTTTATTGAAAATATTTTTGATAGATCAACTTTTTATGAAGAATTATATGCATACTCAATTTCGTAATATTTATTCGTAATCATACATATGAATATTCACAGATATACGCAATTATATTATTTTTTTATCTTTCTTGTTTCGAAATATTCGTAATGTTATTTATAAGATATAAAATTCTTTCTATTCGTTATAACTATAGCGTGCGGATGTTGGGCACGCGCGCGCGCGATCCTGGGCCGTACGCGGAGAACAATGTTGCAATAAAGATCTAGATATATCAAAGTAGCGCAAAAATTTTCCATTTTTATCTACTAATCATGCCAATAACATTAAGTGCTTATTGAACTACAGGCCAAAATAGCTCGAAGTAGCCAATAGGAAATATTGTCGAAGAAAGTTTTCGGCTTAGCGCTTATTAAAAGACTTGCGCTACTTTGCTATATTTAGGCCGATATTCATAGTCGATTCTTATTTCAAGACCATCTTAAGTAATGTCTTATGACGCTTGCGGTCCTCTGATTGGTTCATGACGTAATTCATGAAGTAATGTCTTAAGACTGAACTTAAGATGGTCTTGAATATAAGAATCGATTATGAAGCGGCTTTAGATTAGAGCTTTATGTTGCAAGACTCGTGGAACAAACTCACGCATGCGTGCTAGTATAAACCGCCATCAGTGGTGTACATATTTTACTATTATATGGTTATCGTTATGCCCCTCTTATAAAAGTATAGAATGTGATAATAATGCATTAGAGATTTTATATCAGAGATTATACAATCAATGTGGATAAGATTGAATCAATCTTGTACACAAGAGAAAGAGAACATATTATATATAATAAATTCTGAAAAGCCTTCTCAGAATCGCTGTGTGCGAGTGAGTCGAATGCTCTGAAATGAGATAGCAACATTTCTCGAGGAGACTCGAAATCCGCCAATTGCATCTGATCTAATACAGTATGTCTATCCGAATATATCTATCTCGGTTGCATGGCTTACTCAATGTAAACTAAGCGTGAAGATTTTTTTCTGTATTTTTCTGTATTTTTTTATTCGAGATCGTATGAGGATGTTTTTCTTCAAAATGCCAAAATCTAGAGGAAAAAAGTAACCTTACTCTGAACCTCGACAAAAATATTTATGATGTTTTTACAAAGTTGGACTTTATTGTAATGTTGTTTTACCAACTTGTATAAGATCACTTAAGTATCTCCCGGACTATAACTGATCTTTCTCTCTTCTGTTTATTTTAACTTTTATTTAAAAAAGTTCCTTTAGTGAGATAAATTTTCTAATCTTGAGATTTTTTTTGCAGTTGTTTTGTTCGGTTCTTTCTTAATTTTTTAAATTGTCAATTTGATCCTGTATTGTTGTAATTGTCTTATTATTATATTTCCAGATCATCGGAATGTTAAATGTTATTTTGGTCATGGCGGACTTCTCGGTCTCTCGGAGAGTGTTTACGTAGGTCTACCAATGATTTTAATGCCGATATACGGTGATCAGTTTCATAATTCTGCTGCTGTAGAGACCAGAGGTGCTGCGGTAGTGGTTGCATACGACGATTTAACCGAAGAAACATTAAAAAGTGCTCTAGACAAAGTTTTTAATGATACCAGGTACGCCTCTTCTTTTTGTTTTAATCCTAAAATGAGAAACTTGTTTCTTACACGGAAAAAAACGTTTTGTTGAAATGTCTTAATATTTAGTTAGATATAAGTCTGAAAACAGTTTTGTTGAAAACTATCAAAATAATAAGATGGTTTAAGTTGGTTGCTAGAATATCAAAATTTTTTGCAGCGTTGCTTATTATGCTTGAGACTTCATAATTATATTTATATGATCCAACAAAGTTATTTTTTCAGATCTACACTGTTAAAAAAGATATTAAAAAAAATTTAATGTACTTTTAAGTTACACAAGTATACTAAATTTAATGTAACTAAAATGTATATCTGTATACATTTGCATAAAATTTAATGTCGTTACATAAAATTTTTATGAAATTTAGTATTCATGTATATGATATTCCAACATAGAGTGAATGTATTGCATATCAATGTACACATGCATGGAATGTAATGTACATACGTGTGTATGAAATTTAATAATCTATATGCGAAGTTTAATGCAAAATGTAATGTACATGCACGTTACATTCAATAGGAACGATTCACTTACACACTGTATAGCAATTGCCCACTGCCAATCACAGCAACTTCTGCAGGGAGTTTTTATATTTTTTTTCTAGCACTATGATGAGCCTGTGCGCAAGTGTGCAATTGATATACACTCACATTTAATTTAAAGAATAGGATCCGACGTAAAAATACAATATTACTAATAATGTAAGCATTACCAATAATGTAATTTTTTCAAGCGTTACAGTTTAAGGTTAAGTCAATCATTTTTGATTATTGACATAGTAACGTATATCTAGCTTATTCGTGACACAATAGGGAGTTTTTATAATATCCAAATACGGTGAACGCTAAAGTCATCTTCTCCTTACTTAAGAAAAGGATAACATATTTAGTGCATGATGGAAAGGATAACATGGTATGTGTTTTGTAAGCATCTCTCTCTGAATCTCCGCCGTCTCTGTCTATGAATGTCGATAAGAAACTAAGGCTGTCAATTGTGAAACGCTAAACATGGGATGATATTCATAGTCCGTTTTTATTTTCTGCCTTAAATAATATCTTAAGATGTTAATACAATCCTCGGATTGACTTATGACATCTTAAGACTTAAGGCAGTCTTAAATGTAAGAATCGACTATGTATAGTACTTAAGACAGTCTTAAATGTAAGAATCGACTACCGACCTGCTTCGCGTCTAAAATTGGTACTGAATCTTTTCGAAAGAGAAACATAAAGTGTACCTTCCAACAAATGACACAATGGATCATTAGTTACAATTTTCATAAAAAAAAAGTAATGTTGGTAGCAATAAAAACCCTTGAGGCACCATAGTTTTATTTTCTACGGATTCGTAACATTTATAAGTAGTAATCCGTTAGTTTGCATCGATCGTGTCTGATCGAGTGTAAAAGTAATGTAATACATGATAATTCGTGAACTGTTCGTGAACGGCTGTCATCGCGGAGGCTGTTCATCGTATCTAGATTCATGTTATTGCATAAATTCCCTATTATAAGGTAATCGGGTTTTTATTTGTGTTACTTTTGAAGTTAGAGAAGTAAAATTTAATATTCGAATAGAATATATGAAAAGAACAATGAAAAGGGATAGAAAGATCATTTATTTTTCTTTCTTTAGAAAAAGAATAAAAGAAGTATGCAGGCTCAAATATATAATTCATCAAAATATCTTTTGCTTTCAGTTACCATGAGAATGCCCAACGGCTTTCGAAAGCTTATCGTGATCGACCTACCACGCCGATGGAGACGGCAATATGGTGGACGGAATACATCGCCCGGGGCAATGGCAGATTTTACTTTCGTAGTGACAGCACGGGTTTATTCTGGTACCAGCGTCATCTTGTCGATATAACACTTGTTTTGATTATCATCTCCATGATGTTCATATACATCCTCTTCCGGTTGATTAAACTGCTATTGACGTTGTTCAGATACTTCAAAAGAACATCTAGAAATCAGGTCGGGGAAAAGAGAAAGTTGAAGAAGGACAACTGATTATGTTGTATTATTGTAAAATATCGGCTGCGTTCAGAGAAAACAATTCTTCAATATGATTGGTTTATACATTTAGATCTATAAGGAACCAAAAGCAAGAACCAATCGTATTGAAGAATTTTACAACAGTTGCAAAATTGCTTTCTCTGCTGAACACAGCCAATTGTGTCGATATGAAAGCGATTTTTTGAGATAAAAAATAGGAGAGAACGTGATCTTTCACATCAAATTACGGGCAAATTTTGGAAACGGAATGATATTCAAATTTCGAATAGAAATAAATCGATTAATGCGAAAAATCCATTTAGTAAAAAATTTGTTGGAGAAAATAAACTCTTGCGGTCATTTGTGATTAGCCCTCCTATAGTAAAAGGGATCAGATGTGACCTTCAGTTTTGTCCATTTTGCAAAATACATGAGCAGTTTAACAGAGAAAGAAGTTTTATGATATATTATTGGGTCATCTAAAAAGTATCCTCGTGGTACTTTGTCACTAGATATATGACCATCAACACACATCTAGTGACAAAAAACCGCGGATACTTTTTAGATGACCCAATATTTACTTTTTTTGTTACTTATTTCGTTGTATTGATTAGAAGAGAGAGAGGATATATAATAAAGAAAAAAGTTTTATAATATATTATTTACTTTTTTTACTCATTTCGTTGTATTGATTAGAAGAAATATATTGGGTCTAAAAAACCGCGGATATTTTTTAGATGACCCAATATATCATTACAATAATATGTGCACTGTATATTTAATATAATCCCTGTTTAAAATAGTTGATAGAAAACAATTTATAAAATTTTATCGAAATAAATCGTGTCTTTTGTTCGTGCTTTTCATAAGCATCCAGCAAACGAGAATGTTAAAATGGATCCTTTTCAATCCTGAATGCATTTTTATTCATTTATAGGAATTGCATAGAACATATCTCTATGCCTTTCAATTTAAAAATAATATTAGTATTTTCTGTGCACATCGTGAATACTACTCAATTCAGAATTGTAAATAGGAAGTACAGTTTTTTAATTCAGCTAAATTCAAAAATAATATCAGCAATTTCTGTGCAACGTGAATACTGCTCAATTTAATATTCTGAATATGAAATGCAGTTTTTCAATCTAATTGAATAAAAAAAGTTTTTATTTAAAAATGGAACATAAATGCTACTTAAATTATTCAAAATTATAAGTAGAAAATTTTTCGTTTTAATCTAACTAAGTTCAAAAAAGTTGTAACGTAAAAATAATTGAGCAATGTTCTTTTGTTTCTCTTTGATTAGAAGTAAAATGAATGATCGATGTGAACACTCGTAAACCAAGTTAAACACAGCCCGAATATTAGGCTAATCACGGCATGCGACATCGGCCAAGCGAGATTAGATTATTCGACACTTATCCAATGTTGTCTCATAATAATGTAAATTGTTTATACTTTATTATATCTGTTAAATGATGATATTTTTATTAGATCTATATAATTTCGTTACTAGTTTAGCTGGTTGTAATTGAAGTAGAGAATGAATAACACATTTATCAATTGAAGAAGTGGTATAGCGAATAATGTAGAAGATTCAACCCATTGCAGGTTCGAATCCCACTAAAGATACGTTTTTTAATACCAATTTGAAATAGTTAATTTTAGGTATAATTATTACAAATATCTTATAGGAATAAAATTTGTAACCCTTAAATATAAATGTTTTTTTTTTAAACTAGTGTCAGCTCGGATCCAATCCATTTTAATCCATTCAATCCATTTTCGTGGATTTAAAGCACGCATTAAAAAAATTTTAATCCATTTTAATCCATTCTCGTTTACTGGGAAATGAGTTATTGTTAGTATATTACCGATAAAGTTTAATGTAGATTTTTTTACATATTCCACATACCTTGTGTCGCGAATAAAATATAATTTAAGTACACTCTATATATCATTTGATCGTTCCTTGAAAACAGTTAATCCAAAGGCTTGGCCTTGACCGAGTACGAAATAAATATCTCGAATCTGAAGTCAATTGACTTACGATCTACGGCTTGTGCTGTCTTATTTTTCTGGTAGTTTTTAAAAAAGTAACGGAAAAGTAACGAATAATTATTTTCTCAAATAATGTTAACTGTAACGAGTTACTTTTAAAAATTGGTAAATAGTAATGGTAACTTATTACTTTTCCTACTCAGTAACGAGTAACTGTAACTTGTTTTGTTGCTTTTAAAAAGTAACTTTTCATTTCCTGTTAAATAATATGTAGTATTAATTTAATTTAACCTAATTATCTTAAACAATTAATTATTTAAAAAATTGATATTCATAGTTAGCTTTTATATTTAACATCTTCATGTTTGGCGCAAAAGTATTTTCAGTAAGATTAAATATTTAAAACTCAGAGCAAATGGATACATGATAGCAAAAAGAGTTGTATGTCATCAATTCATTTTCAGATGCAAAAGGAACTGTTCATAAAAAGAATTCTTTTTGTATCTAAAAATAAATTCTAAATTAATGACATAACAACTAAACTTTTAAAATTCTTTTAGAATTCTCTGTGCTATCTGGAAAATTATTTCTTTTCATGTTTATAAAAAGTCATTTTCTATGTCTCTAACTTTCTTTTTCTTTTCTACTCTCATAAGTTAGGAATATCTGGTACTAATCTATTCTTCAAAATAATTTCTTCTAAAGTTATTCTTTTGATATATATATATATATATAGAAAATTCTTAAGCTAAAAGTACAATTTTTTCGCTATGGTCTATTAGAAAAAAGAAGAAATTATCGTTAGAGTAATTTAAACATATTCAGCAATGCGCGATACTGTAAAAAGATGGAACTGGAAAAAGTTTAAAGAAGAAGCAGTGTTCCTAGATTTTACTGAACCATTTTTAATTACACAATATTTTTCTGCGGTAACGAGTGATAAGTTAATTTTAACTTAATATGAATTAATTCTAACGAATGATAAGCGAGTATCGATATTTCTATTTATCGATGAAAAACTAACAGACGTGCAACGAATCAATAATATTGAAATCCAAATAAAGAGTAAAATAACTGTTGCAAATGTCTTATGTATTTGCATACCAGTGCAACAAAACATAAATATTATTCGTAAAAGATATTCTTCCAGTCTAGATAAAACAAATAGCCGCCATATATTAAAACTCGTGTTTATGTGACGATTTGTATTTGTTGTATTTTTGTAAGTTTTTGTAAGTTATCTTATTGAGAATCATACTTCATCGCAACTTCATCAACAACGTTAATGAATGAGAGGCAAAAGTTAAATAATGTTTAACAGAAACCATATTTTAAATTACAAAATATTTCAGTTCTTTTTCCGTATAATTTAAATATTATTTTTGATGGTATTTAATTAGCTTTCGCTTCCACTCTTCGTTCAGGATCAATGATTTATCAATGTCATTAATTAATCTTGTGCTTCCGCACGCGATCACGTCACCGTTGGTCTCTTATTCGGAGTTTTTACAAGCAGCACCCGGGCGGAAGTGCCGACGGAATATTCCGGCAAGTATAATACACGTTTATGACGCGAGGGGGAAAACCGCGAGGCGCGCATCGCGAATCATCGTCTACCTATTGTTTTATTATAGACGACAGGATAAGGTTGGTTCCGGGGATAGTAGGGCGGCACGGTAATCTTTCTCTAGCAGCGTGAAATATGCATCTACAATTGCGAGCTTCACGGTACGCCAGGGATTATATTCTCAGCAGTCATACTTGTTGTTCTATTATACATGACGAGAGAAAGGTATTTCCCCTAAGAAGAGCTTTTTCGTCCCTTCCATCCCTTTTTTTTTCTTATATAAGAGGGGCCCAAAGTTTGAACTAGTCTTCTGTCATAATGTTCCTTTCCTACATTGGAAATATTTTTAGTACAAATTTTAATTTTGCGAGCTGACGGGACTATAGCTCTTCCTTTGTCAAGATATTGTATATCGTATGATGATTTCAATGATCCATATGGCAAAATTAAGGCTTAAATGACATACAGATTAATTATCAATCCTTTTAATTTGTCCGTAATAATTTGTCAAAATTACATAATAAATAAAAATATAGTAGTTTAACCAATATATTATGATATTGGATTTAATATACAGTACATGCGTAAAGTATTATAGAGAAGATTTTTATAAAAATGTAAAAAATAAATATTAATTAGCTATTTGTAAAAAATAAATATTAATTAGCAATTTATTAATAAAAAATGCGTTAAAATGTCCTAATGCAAACAAAAGAGCTTTGCAAAAATAACTGTATTTACTGATTTTACCAGTTTTTCTTGATCGTTAAATACTTTCTATATAAATGTATACGCTTGTATGTACTATCATATAAAATATATTGAAGTTAAGAGAAGCGCGCGCGCGCGTGTACACAACAAGAGGATCTATAATTTTGAATTAAGGGCTTGCTGTCATTTCGCCATGTCAGTGCATCATAGCTGCTTTTGGTAATCGTGAATCAAGTTTGCTTTTCACAACAGAGATCCACGGGAAATTTGATTATACTATCATCATGTGCTGTGTACGCGACAATCTACGCGAAAATAGGATTTTTCGAAATTATACGGCCCGATCCTTCGATTTAAAAACGACATCGATCATCTTCTTGACGCGAGCATACAACCACGTCTGCATATATACTTTGACCATTTTACATCATATCATTCAAATATGAAGCATGCATTATTTTTACAGTGTGAGCGTACCGTTTTCTTGAAATTCTTCCGTGATGTCCGATGAATCTTGATATTTTATATTAGAAGAGAAAGATTAATATTTGTTAAGTGTCATATTGATATAAAAGAAAATATCAATTTAAAATGCTATTAAAAATATTATAAATATCATTTATTATTGAATGTCCTTTAATTTGAATTAAAGGATATAATTCAACAAATCAATTTTTGGACTTTGAAACTTTTATATTTACATTCAGAGAAAAACATAGTGATAGCAATTATACTGATAATAATTTTATATTATGTAGAATTAATATACAGAGTGTCTTAAACTTTTTAACATTCGTGGATAGATAGATCTCACTAAACTGAATCGAAAAGTCCTCAACCATTTTGCAATTTTCGAAATTCTTTTTTTTTTTTACTCAAGCAGAATATCTAAAATCAATATCTCTAAAAGTTCTTTAAAAAAATATCTAAGATATTTTTAGGGGTTTTATTTAGAGAGAGTTATTAAACATTTCATAATGATTGTGTTGAACGTCCAATAATTATCGGCACATAATCACATTTGGAAAAAATTGATTAAAAAAATATATTCGTAACATCTAACTTTAACCCCCCGTTCGGCATTCTTTACTTTATTCGATTTATTCATACACAGTCGTTCTTCTTATAATGTTTAAGATATTTCAAGTGCTGCATTAGTGCTGCACTATACAAGTG